AGAAAAATACTTAGCTCCTTAATAGCGGTTAATAATCTCTAAAATAAAGGGTAAAGGGTACTAATTCTTTTATATAACCTAGTTAAGTTCTTAGTAATCTATATATAGCCGTAAGGTATTATCCTTTTTTAAAACGATAAGGATAAGCGCCCTAGCTAAGCTCTTTAACTCCTAGATTATTTTCCTTCTTATTATATCTTAGATTTAGTCGCGTAATACTTAGAGTTCCCTTTATAATAAAAGGTAAATCGGTCTATAAAGGGGTTCTATATTAAGGATTAAATTAATTAAGTAATCCGTTCCCTTTTTAGCTAGTAATAAGTCGGATTTATTAGCTAAGAAAGTATCTTTAAACTAATAAAGAGTTAGTAGGATTTTAGCCTATTCTTCTTATAAAATCCTTTTATCTTTATCTTTATTTAGTAGTAGGATTAGCTTAAGATTAAGCGCTATTATATATACCCTTACTTTATTCTTATATTCCTAAAAAAATCTAGAAGGGTTTTATAGGGTTTCGCTACTTAGTTAATACTTAAACTACTACTATCGTTTTTATAAGATAATATAAATACGTTTATCCTTTAAGGTAATAGCTAATAAAAGGATTAGTACTTAATCGTTTAGCGTTAACTTATTAGTACTAATATAGAAATAAGTAATTATCTTTTTAATACCTTTTATATTTATTATTTAAAGCGGCACTAACTATACTTTATACTCCCTTACCTTACTATTACTAAGCCTTAATAACTTAGGGTATAATAGCGCTACTTATAGTAATCCCTATTATTAAGTAAAGTATATATTTATAAGGTTAATAGTACTATAAGTATCTAAGTATATAAGGACTTTAATAGGGTTTTACCTTAATATTATTATAAGAGTTTTAAGTAACTATCTTATAAGTATTAAGTTTACTAAGGGAAAAGCATTTACCTTAATATCTTACCTTTTCTTTATTTTATAATATTAAGTCTAAGAGTCTTTACTAAGGTTTCTACTTTTAAAGAATTAGTATATTTTATAAATAAGTATCCTAGCTTATTATATTAGAAATATTTAATTCCTAATTAAATAAAAGATCCTTTTCCTTAATAACGTCCCTTAGTTTAGCCCTTAATAGGTATATCGCTAGCTTACTAATTATTAGTTAAATCGGTAGTATTTCCTTAACGATTTAGCTTAGTTTATTAGCTTCTTTAATTCCTCCCTTTATATATACTACCTTAGGAAGTAGTACTATTTTTATTCTTAGTTCCTTTAAGGGTAAAAGTAGTATTAGTATATTACCTCTTATTAATAGTAGTATCTTAATATTATTAAGCGACTTAAATAAGCTTTTTTTATTAATAGGTATAAATAAGTATTAAATAAAGGTTAATTTAGTCTTAAAGTTATAGCTCTAGCTTAGCGAAAAATATAAGAGTACGTGCTTTTTTTAATAAGCGTTTAAAATACTTTTCTAAGAAGTTAAGGTATAAGCTAAACTCTAGGAGGGACTAGCCTTCTTATTAGCGAGCCTCCTTTAATTATATCGCTAATAGTATCTCCCTATTTATAATATCCTTAATTAAGATAAGTATTTATTCTTTAAAGTCTACTTAATCTATACTATATTTAGTTTTATTAATTAGTATTTATTCTTTAAGGTATCGGTGCTATCTCGCTTTATAGTCGCTATATATATAATCTATTATATAGAGGATCTTTATTTTATCGCGATAAAAACGTCTAGGCGCTGCCTTAAAGGCGTCCTTTAAATCGTAAGTTTAGTCTAAACGTTTCCGTATATTAATAGGTTAAGATAATTAAGCGATATTTTTAATCTTAACCTTGCTACTATAACTACTATCTAATTTAAGGGAGTAGGACTATCGACGCTTCCTTAAATAAATAGTAATAGTACTAGCGCGTTTAGTAATTTCCTCCTTTAATTATATAACGCGATCTTATAAGTATTTTATCTCCTCTAGCTCTTTTATACGCGCTTATAGAGCTATAAGCTTTTCCTTATAAGATAGTTATCTTACGCCTATAGGTAGCGATATCTTCGATATAGTTATAACGCTATCTATAGTAGGGGTTTATTCTAAGGATATATCTTTCTATTCTTTATCTCCTAAGTAGATACTTAATATATATAATAAAGAGGCCTTAACTAGTTAACTACTATATTACGCTATAAGAGCATTATATAGTCTTCTCTAAGTAGCTATCTCTATTAAGTAACTAAAAAGGGAAGCTTTAGAAATTATAAGGGAATATATATTATAGTACGATTAGTTAGGTAATAGAGATAGCTAGAGGTACTACGCTATATATATTATATTCTCCTCGTTATAAGACTAAAGCTTATAAGAAGAGAGATTTTTCCTCTTTAGTTAGAGTAGCAAGTAGTCTATAATATATAAGCGGGGTAGGTACGATTCCCTGCTAATACCCTACCGATATATTAGTACTATATACCTAAGTGCTTTATTAGCCTATACCTCCTAGTAGCTCTCTTATAATACGCCCGAGCGCTAGTATACCTAGGCGCTAAGGCGGTATAAATACTCTATAATAGTATTAGCTCGTTAAGGTATTAGCTACTATTAGTTATAAGTATATTATAAAGGCTTCTTAAGTTTACTATTAGCGCTATCTAATAAATATAATATCTTTTATTTAGGCCTTTATACTAAGAATAGTTCTTAATAACTAATAATACTTATAATCTTTTAAGAGAATAGGTAAGTAAATAAATACTCTTATTAAATAAAGGGATTAAAAGGTAAAATAAAAGGTTAATTATAAGCTTATAAAATAGTTTAATATAAGTAAGTTAGTAACTTTATAACTTTATTAAATTATAAGAGAGAGCTAGGGTTATATATAAGAAGAATACTTAAGCGGAATAATAAATAAATATATATAGAGATATACTAAAAGGTATACTTTTAAGATAAACGCAATAGTATAAGAAATAAGCTATCTTAGTATAAAATAATAAGGCTATAAAGATAGGACTACCTATCGGTAGAAATATAAGAAGATAGGGTACTTATTAAGAGGATAGTAGCTAATAATAAGGGGGGTTATAAGAGGGAAAATAAAGGATAAAGGTCTAAAGTATAAGTTAATAAAAAGGATAAAGGTCGGTCTATTTATATAGGCGCTAGGTAGGATAAGGCATATAAGAAGGCGCCCTACTTAATTAGGGATACTATTAAGCTTAGTAAGGATAATAGTTTATTTTAAACTTTTACTTATAAGTCCTATATATAATTATTTTTATAACTACTATTTTAAAGTAAAGAAAGAAATATACTATAAGTACTATAATAATAAGTTAATAATAAAGCTATATAGAATTTTACTATATACTATATAAGTACTGCTATTTATATAATAGCATATTGCTGTTTGCATACTTACCCCATTTTCAAGATACGTACTAACGCCAGCCTGCCCCGCCTATTTATACCGCGCGCGCCTGGCAAGTACCCGTACCGCCCAAATGCCCGCGCCCGCGCACACAACGCACTTTTGGTCACATAACTCCGACTCAACGATCCCTCCAACGCCTGACGAAGCCGGCGGCGCGCCCCTCCTGCCGCGTCCTCCTCTTAATCCACTTCCCCTTATATTTCCTCGGGCTAACGATCCTTATTATAACGCTGCGAGAGACCGCGGGCTGCGGCTAAGTTTATCGATTGCGGCGTTAGTAATAGCTTTAAATTTAGTATGTGTGTTTATAGGCGGGCGCGGGCGCGGGCATTTAGGCGGTACGGGTACTTACCAGGCGCGCGCGGTACAAATAGGCGGGGCAGGCTGGCGTTAGTACGTATCTTGAAAATGGGGTAAGTGTGTAAACAGCAATATGCTATTGTGTAAATAGCAATACTCTACTATATTAGCGGCCCTAAGTTTAGACGGAGTATATATCTATCTTTTAGTAAGCTATATATATAGAATAATTACTGCTCCCCCGGTCCTAGGAGCTTAAACGCGTTATAGATATAAGATTAGCAGTTTATATTATAATAAGGTTTTTAAATAGCTAGGGGGTAAAGGGCGGTTCAGCTTGCAAGCTATTAAATAACCCCGAGTCCGAGTCCGTGCGCGTGTTCGGCTCCGAGTCGGTGCCCGCCATATCCGAGTCCCAGCCGACGTCGCCTGCTGTCTAGTCCAACTACAGCGTGATCGCCGGGGTTCAATGAAGACTGTCCTTTTAGTCCTACTTCGTTTATTTATTTATCCTCCGTCTCAGAGCGTGTTAAACTTTCCCTTCCATACCGGCAAACTCATGACTACCGTTACCCCAGATGTGTCGAATAGATCGTGAACGGTGAGAACCGACTTCACAAGCCAGCGGTAGGCTATGAAGCCTCCCAACCGTGATAACGTTCGGAGAAGAATTTCACTGTAGCATAATTATTATTGAGGTAAGCGGGGACACAGTTATCTAGTCTGGTAGAAATGCAGTGCTGGATATGAGTTTTAACTTTTCTGTATTTATGCCGTGGGCAGTTTGTTTACCTAGCAAATCGTATCAACAAACGTCGTATATAGCCACGGCTTAAGATCAAAATGGCCTTTTATGGCGCCACGAATGATCTCTCAGAATTCATGCTCATGGATTGTAAACCGATAGAGAGCGTCATCTGCAGACCCGTACGTAGACAAGATCGTTATAGCAGTCCCTATCCCCGAGTAAACCGACGTGTCACCACGTCAATTCGCACAGCGGCAAAGCCCGGACCGGCCCCAATAATCTTCTAACGTTTTACAAGAAAGTGGCACAGTTGAGGGAGACAGTCCTCACGTCAATACGGAACAGGCCCCGCGGAACCTCCGCGGATCCGGGCGGAGTCTTGGTCCTAGTCTGGCGCGAGTTTTGTATTTCGTCAGCCCCTGAACGGCGTCCCTTCGACTATAAAAACATCAGAGTAGCCATCCCTTAGTGGTGATTGATAAGATCACCTTATCCATCTACTCTCCCTTTCCGCAGTCTAAGCATGGATGCCATTGCAACTCAGATCCACGCCCTGACCCAAACAGCTGACGCAGCTGGCCGATTGGCTTTGCAAAAGGCTCTTCGACAGATGCAGGCAGAGCTTCAGAGCCCGATGGATTTTCTCATAAACATTGCAAACTCAGTAAGTGACCTAAGCCATGATCCGCTGCTACTTGTATCAACCAACTCAGATGCCGCTCCTCGCATCACTCCGCCTTGGAGCAGATTTGGGCCTCTTCCGGACTCTGGCGCAGCGCAATGACTCGTTGTCGGTGGCTCAACTGGCCGAGTCCACTGGGGCCTCGCCTCAACTTTTGGGTGAGTAACTCGAAGCTGGCTGACGTGCGTGTCACCTCCTTACGACCGTTTTGAAGAGCGATTACTCCGTTACTACTCGTCCAACAACATCATCAAGGAGGTAGGTGTCAATGAATACAAGGCCACGAGTCTTAGCCACGTGCTCGCGGATCCCAAGGGAGAGGCCACGGTCTATGTTGGGTCAGTCTTTTCCAATAGACGAGCCTTGTCAGCCCTACTAATATCCGACCAGGTTTGATACGCACGCCCCAGCATTCCAAGCCATGCCCGACTTCTTCGCCGACAACAAGTATCAAGAGATCGCCAGCACTACTCGGACACCATTTCAGAAAGCCTTCAAGACAGACTTGGGTTGCTTTGACTGGCTCGTTCAGCATCCGAAACATTTTGAGCCCTTGCAAAAGGTCATGACTGCCTTCGCAGGGTCAGAGTGGGCTGACGGATTCGCGCTTCTCGACAACGAGGTTAAGGCTGTCCCTTTTACTCCGCCTGACCCCAAGGAGAAGCCTTTCTTCGTCGACGTCGGGGGAGGACATGGTCACCAGTGCATCCAGCTGGGCAAAAAGTACCCGCACCTGCTCGGGCGTCTTGTCCTTCAAGACCTGCCCGAGGCTGTCAACAAGCTCCCGGATATACCCGGGGTCAGAGCTGATGCCTACAACTTTTTTGACAAACAGCCCATCACCGGTCAGTAGCTCACCTCTCTGCTAAGTACTACTCTAATATTGGGTGCCGCTCAGGTGCCAGATTTTACTACCTGCGCCGTATCTTGCACGACTGGCCCGACGACGAGTGCGTCCAGATCTTGTACAACATTGCCAGCGCCATGGCTGTGGACTCGCGCATCCTCATAGACGAAGTAGTGCTGCCAAATAAGGAAGCCCCTTGGCAGGCCACCATGGCTGATTTGGCAATGATGGTCTCGTTTGGCGGAAAGGAGCGAACCCAGCAGCAGTGGCAGATGCTGGCTGGGGAGGTCGGCCTGCGCATTGAACAGATTCATACCTACACTGCTTCGACGTGTACATCTGTTGTCGTCATGGCGCTGAAATAGAGCTCAAGGGATGGTATCGATTAGGGTGCAAGAGGGTAGACGCAGGTTCCAGTCGGCTGAGGTCCATTTAGGTCCGAGACTTTACTCAGGCATTAAGACGCATTTATCCATTGCTTCTCATACATCGCGGGGTTTTTGGAAAGACATTGATCATCTCCAGCCCCTTGGCTGTCGTATTCCAAAAACTACCCGCACCTTCTGCACCTGCTAGTCAACAGTCCCGCTATATGACCGTCCGACAGGTACGACAGCTCATGCTGTTAACAGCAGCAGGCAGTTGTCCAGTAGTCTGTCTGTATAAGAGGCAGAGGTGGAAGGCCGCCTGCTAATGAATTAGGCATCGGCTGCGGGGTCTGTTCCCCTTTGTAATATCTTCAGTCGCGTGCTCAACCGTCGTCTGATGGGTTTGGGAGCATTGTGGCAACACACGCATGAAAGTCGCCTTCTGAACCCCTAACCTGGGCTCAAGTCTAGTATTCAGCAGGCTTTCTCATGACAGTATCGTCCACGCGATGGCCCTTGACACTTGTGCCCCCTTCCATATATTGCGCGATCTCCAGAAATATGTGTTGACTTGAGTCTATGATGTTGGACCAGCCGGGTGTTGCTGCCACGTCTAAAATACGCAGGCTCGCATTACGAGACAGCTCTCATCGGCGTCATTGATACGTCGCAAGCACGTTTTACCTCATCCAATTCCGATGATATCATTCTTTCAAGCCAGATTTCCGCGCGGGACCGGCCTTTTGCTCGAAACATGTCCCTGGGTCGGCTTATGGACAAGTTTTCGAGGAACCTGACCTTGAGTATATTTAGTGACTCTCGGTTCTGGTGAGCGGAGCACCTTGCTCGTGGCTTGTTCTTCTCGTCGGCTAATAAGTTTCCAGGTCCCAAAACCGTACCCGTGGTGCCCGTCGCCCAGAATTTATCATCAATCGGTGACGCTACCAGAAACAAAACTTCAGTCTCGCTTACGGAATTGCCATTTCCGCAGATGGTTTCAGCGTTCTCGTTGGTCTGAGATCTCTACGTCTAAACGGCGTCTGCCATGGCACGAGCTTCTGCTCTATCCCCGCCACGACACGCCAATTTACGATGGACCGAGTGGCCGAGGACTCGTCACTCGTCAGAGCCGATGGATAAGAACATGCTCGAGACCAAGTTGTCTTCCAGTCGTTGAGTGCCGGATATGTTTTTGTGAGCCCCGCGAGGCTTTTAGACTTGTAGAGGTATCCAGGCTGAAAAGGGGCCAGATTGTAGCATTAGGACCAGGCCGCTTTACACCTGATCTACGGATACCAAGTAGTACGACTTCGCCTCTGTTAACCAGCAAACAGCCTTGGCTAGCCAGCAAACAAACAAAGTAGGGTAGTGTGCCTGGTCAAACCTGTTTGCTGGTTAATTGAGGCGTACAACTTCGTGTTACTTCAAGGCTGCCTTGGCGGTAGTGGCAGTGGCTATGCATAGGATGCCTAAATTTCTTGGGCACAGCAGCGAATCTTCGCCATTTCAGCACTCGTTGACATGTCATGCGCCAGAAATGTCGCATTCCCAAGCTCCACCTGCCGAACTTTCTTCGTAGCTTCACTGAAGAGGACTGACAGATTTCGATTCTTGTCCGCATTAGCCCGCAGGTCTTCATCCTCCTTGTCCCTCACTACGTCGCCGCGTATGACCCACGAAAGTGTCCATTTGCGACAAAAGGCAGCTCGAGCCAGAAAAGCGAAGAGAGCCAGTGGGTTCCAAACCCTATCGACGAGAAGATGTTGTCTTGGCTGAGGGGAGGCGGAAAGGCACTCTTGATACGCTTGCCGACCATGGCGCTGCTTCAATACAGGCATATTGACCTTGGACGGGCTTTGAATGAGGTATCCAAAATGGCAAACTTCTAGTCCTCATAAAACATGACTAGTTAACTGTCTGGTCATCACTCCAGGCCATTGTCAATATTTGCGACATCCAGATTGTGACGGACGCCGGGATTCTCATCAGCGGATTCGTCTGTCTAAATGGAGACCATCCATTGTCTGCCTACCACTGGAAAATCCTCGTTCATCTAGCTTGGTTTGCTAGCGTTACGCACCTAGCAGGACTGGCAGCCATTCGACAGCACCCCCATCTGCATCTCTTTAAGAGGAACATTCGTGTGGCCCTTATGGCTTGCGTCTTGACAGCGTTGCTAGTTGCCATGGTTCCAACGGGCTTTTTCGTTTGGGGATACACGGCTAGTTATGCCCTAGTCGCCGGCCTTGTGTTTCTTCAGTCATGACGTCGATTTCAGTTCCATGGAAGAATCCGCCTTGCGAACGGCGAAACCAGACATCCAAGATCCCCGGAAAATCTGGAAAACCGTGCCTATAAAGCCCTCGACGACGGAAGCATTCGCGTCTATGATATTCTCTTGCTGTGTCTCGGCGCTATACTCCGCTGCTTCAGGATCTTCGAACCGCTTTCAACGATCCTAAGATCAAAGCTGCATCGTCCAGCAAGCAATATACTCAAAGCGTCAATCTGCTGGATACATTCGCGTTCCACAGGACCACCCGGATCAGGCGAGGGTGACAGACTGCCAGGAACGGGCGTGAGTGACTGCCGCGACACCAAGCTCAAGCGGCGAGCTGTCTGGCTCCACGCCTTCACCTTTCCTGCGGTGGCTGTGTTCCTGAGCATGCGATTTCTTGCCGATTTGCTGGGCTCTGCCCTCTCCGATGTTGGTGACCTCAGCCCTTGCTTGACATAGCCCGCGTAATGAGAACTGACTTCAACATACTTTTAGATTTACTGGCTCTCTGCAACCCTGGTTTGGGGCACTCAAGCTACATGCTGCCCGCTTCAACTCTTTTGTACCTTGGGGCACCTTCAGTACTAAAAAGATGGCACAAGAAGAGGATCAGTGGACCTTTGGCCAGGTGTTACCAGTGCTGCTTCTTGCCGGACCCGTCTTCAACCTGATAGATATTCTTGCTACCGAGACCAAAAAGCAGCAGTGCAAGCCCGCTACCGGCGTTGTATCGCATGGCTCGCCGCATCCGCCTCGAGAGGCCTTATTCACAAGTACGGACGACACATGTACGCTCCGACTGCTTCGCCGTGAAGACTATGCAAGAAATTACGTGCTCGGGTCTTGCCTCTCAGGCACACTTTGCACAACTTGCGTGCTCAGCATTTCGTTCATTTACGAAGTTTTCTGGGACTTGGCTACAACCGTTGAAGTTGATATTGTCAAGAGAGGCGTTGACATGATGCCACCAAGTCTGATCCAATATCTGTTCACCCAGAAGGGGGCTTCTGTCTACATCGCCGTGGGCTTCCCTGCTAGCTGCTTCTTTGTTTTCTTGACCGGGGTAGGCCTTGATTCATGGCTTCAGCGGCCTCCGTGCTTGTTGGGCAAGTGTCTCGGGGCACACACACTCGCGATTCTTCTTTTCACCAGCAACCTCGTCTGGTATATTTCGCCTGTAACGCGGGCTGAATTTGGGCTCCCGACTGTGGACCGGATTGGCTGGCCCTGTTCGATGCTCGTCATTCATGCTGTGCAGACTCTATGTCTCTATTTCATATACCTTGGCATTCGGATTGGCAGCATGTATTGGAATTGATGCCCACAGCCATCCGACATCTGGTTTTCGAATTCAGCGGCTTTGGGGCCGCTCGCGTCAGGCAGGAACCCCAAGTCAGTGGTAGCAGAGCGCCGTGCATATCGAGGCCAAGCCGGCCGAATCCAGGTTATACGCTGAAACGCAGCTTTCTTCCACTCTGTGAAAAGTAGTCCGAGAACATGGAACGACTTCAGATCACGCTGGTGAGTGTGAGAGAATCCCTTGCAGGACCTCAATCGCCATCGACTGCCTTCGCATGGAGCGTGATATGACCTTGCTGACGACCATGTTCCCAGTGCAATGCAGTCTCCCACTGATTCATCTCTACTTGCTTTAGAACAATGTTCCAACCTTGAATTATGCCGTCACATCCCCCCTCCCCCCAACCGCGTTTCGGCAGCCATGTCCGCCTCGAGAGGGATCATAAGCTTTAACATGAAACAGAGGTGCCTCTGTCGACAGATGTGTATACTTTCTGAGTCAACATGAATCCCCTTCACACTGACTGTAGCTGGACATGAACAGCAAATTTGAGGCCTGTGGTGGTTACACAGTCTAAATAGAAGCCATTTCCTTTTTCTCTCTCCACAGGTCGCTGATGAGGTTGTAGACTCGCGCTTGGGTGTCAAGGACGGCCAGGTATGTGAAATAAACACTCAAAAGCTTGGCATAGGCGGCCGAGACGAAAAGAGGCTGGCTTCTTGTCTCGCGATAGGTGATAGTAAGAGCGGCCGCTATATATAAGGGTTAACCACACGATAGTCTGCCTATAAATGACCTCATTTTAGTCTCAAAACTTAAGGTCATGATTAACCGATCAAGGGGTCGTTTGTGCCGTCGGAAGGGCATTTTGCTCTACTGGAAAAGATGTCAGTCTCGACTTGCCCGGCATGAAAACATGCTAGTCGCACTAGAAAACAGCTCAACTGTTCCCGGGGACTTTTCGGGGCATCGGCGCTCTTTGATCGCTGGTGAATGAATCATTTAGTGTTGGCCGCTGTATATTTATTTAGCAAGAGGAAATCCCAAATTTGAAGAAGCATGTATCACTGAGAAACAGGCGGAAGGAAGGTGGAAAGGAGGTTAGTCTGGCCTTGAAACAAGAGTTAAAAAAGGTTCCCCATATGATATAGATTATCTATTTGTAACTTAGTAAGTTGCCTATCAACTAAGTAAGTCATTTACGGAGAGTTGCACTGAAGTCGGTGGAGGTGGTCCTGACGACTGGCGTCCTGCGAGTGACAGACCTCTCCCAGACGTTTCATCTTCTGTATTACCACCGACTGGGAGTAGGCGGTGCTGGCTTTGCTAAAAAGCACCGGACGATATATCTAGGGGTTGAATAAAATTCATCCCATGAGTCGGGAAACCCGCCGTCGGTTATACTATCGGGGCAACGTGTTGCGTTGGTTTTTGTGGCCATGTAACAAGCATGACCTGACTACACAAAACGCAAACACTGTTCCTGCAAGGCTTGTGAGGTAATGGTCAATTCTCGCGTAGGTGAGCTCCTCTGCGTCTCAGAAAAGCCATACGTAGGTGTACCATATGTAAGTATACACTGAGGCATGGCTTTGTTGAGGACAGTCGACCTCCGACTCGTGAATAATGGTGAGCGGGGCAGGATCATGTTTCCTTAAGCAAAAAAGACACCCCTCTTACCAGCAGGTCTATGTCAACTCGCAATACGAACCGTCAATGCTGAGTTCAATGGCTTAACATTAGGAGGGCACCTGGCTTTCCACCATTTATACTGGCCAGGACTAACCAGCGTACAGGTCTATCGAACTAGCTAGCCAAGAAGCGGAGAAGCACAGTGTAGTAGCAGGCGTTTTCCAGCCTGCTTGGTCAAGCAATATAAAAGTACGCACTTTTGTGCCAATCAGGCCATCTCGTTTCCAGTTTTTAGCTCGTCCCGGACAAGACAGGACGGGCTGGGTGACAACTGTACGGGATATGGCTAGAGCATCCCGGTCAGCCAGACTCATGTGCTGGCTAGTTGGAATCTTCATATTCGACCTCTCCTGTGTCTAATCAATGCCGTTTAACATCCTAAACGTACAACACCCAGGCTTTGACTCCACGGCTCGCCAGTTGGGGTGCACGTTTTACAATGGTACTCTGGCGGACTGGAAGCTTGTAGCTCGCCACCTGCAAAGAGCGTTTACAATGCCACACGGGACAACTATTCGCTATATGCTATCTATCCAAACCTGTATGCTAGTTAACGCAGCCGTCATTATATTTTCATTGGCCGAGTTTCTATTCACCCTGCTAAACTGGTTACTCGATTGTGGAGCAACCATGAGATTAGTCGCCCGGTTAGCCTATTCGCCATTCATGCTCAAAGGCATTAGACGGCCATCTCAAAGGGTCCCACCGCCAGTAGCTTATTGAGTTTAAGCCTAAAAAAGGTCCTAGCTCGCCTTGTCGCCGTAGTTACCTGCGACCGGACGGAGAGGATAACGACGATGTGGCCGCCCTGGGCCCGCACTGAGACACCAGCCCAGGTCTCGCATGAGACGATACGCCGCTGGATCGGTCAAAGAGACACAGGGTTCCGTCACTTGAGCTTGTCTATACGAGAACTGATGACGTCAATCACCCGGGTAAGAGAAGGCCTGGCGTGAATGTAACAAGGACAGGGGTAGTGTGTAGAAGCTCCGGGGCGATGCGTTGCCGAGCTCGCATGCAATCGCTGTACAATACCCAGAGCTCAAGAACAATAGTCTAAAATATAAGAACCAGAGAGTGAGCATGTGCCCATGGAAACACCAGACACTCTATTTCCAAGAACCAAGTATCAAATAAAACGTTGAACCCGTCTGCTGCTACCGTCACTTCATCTCAAGAAGTATCACCAGCATCACAAGCACACCTCCAGGACTACGTACGCCAGGCTCTTCAAACCTGGCCCTACTGCCCCAGGCCTCAACTTTTAGTACCCTTTGAACAAGTCTGGCCTCCTGAGAATGCCTCTCCGCAACTCCGTTGCTCTCGCTCTCACACTCCTCGGCGCCGTCGTCTCTGCCCGCGACGTCCCCGGTAACATCCAGAGCTTCCTCGACAACATCCGCGCTCAGAAGCAGTGCAAGAACGTCTTGGCTGGGGGCTTTCACAGCTCTAATGGTGACTCTGGGGGTATGTCTTACTCTCCGCAGTCTTTTATCCCTCCATGCCCTGGAGTCAAATACTGTCATGGCGAATGCCGCTTGTAAATGCATGGCCAGCTGACACCAGCTTGTTATTAGACTTTGAGTACTGCGGCGACCACTTGAAAGACTTCAACGTCATCTACCTCCAGGGCCGCAACGGCCAGCTCGTCAACCTGGACATTGACTGCGACGGCGTCCAGCGCGGCCCCGCCGACGACGGCCGCTGCGGCAGCTCCAGCGACACCCAGTCCCAGTCATCCTTTAGGGACGAGCTCCAGGGTTACGGCGCCGGCCAAAAGGATCTCAACGCACATGTCCATCCTTACGTCGTCTTCGGCAACAACGGCGAGAGGCCTGGCTGGCGCAAATTTGACCCTACAAAGTACGGCGTCGAGCCGCTCAGTGTCATGGCCGTTGTGTGTGATAACAAGCTCGTATGTCCTCGACCTTTTCTTTCCTTCGTGACAGGTATCAGATGCTTCGAACGTCTCGTCTGTGCCCTCTTTGTGGCTTCCAATGTATCTTTGAAAGACAGCACGTGAAGCACGGAAACAACGTGGCTGACATGAAACGATTCACTTCTTCCCACTCGCCCACCCCTTCGGTATCAGGTATACGGCATTTGGGGCGATACCAATGGCGACGACGCCGAGGAGGCCATGGTTGGCGAAGCCTCCATCTCCCTCGCCACCGCTTGCTTCGGCAAGGGGGTCAACGGCAACGCAGGACACGACGAAAACGACGTCCTCTACATTGCCTTCCCCGGGAAGGATGCCGTCCCGGGAGCCAAGGGCGCCAAGTGGAACGCCAAGAGCTACCAGGAGTTCGACGGCAGCATATCTCGCCTCGGCGACCAGCTCATTCAGCGTATCGACAGCAAAGCCGGTAGTAGAGGCGGCGGAAGAGAGGGGAGGGGAGGAAGAGATAGTGATGGAGGTGGTGATGGTGACAGCGACAGCACCACCAATCCTGCCTTTCCTCCCAATGGCAATGGCAATCCGTCGTCTCCTACCCCTGACAAGAACTCCTCTGCTTCTCCTCCTTCTCGCAACGACAATCCTTCGTTTCTTCCTATTGGCAAGGAAGACTCTGCCTCTCCTTCAGCCAGCAATGGCTGCTCTCGGAAGGGCCGCTGCAAAGGTGAGCGCCTCCCTTGACGTAACATTCCATCGCTTCCAGCATCTCCTGACACGACTGCAAACTGATCCTGTGTTGCTGCTACAGGGGCTTCCTGCAAGTCGTACAAAGACTGCTCCGACGAGCTCGTCTGCGAGAGCGGAAAGCGCACCGGATAGTGGCCAGAGAGCAGGCCAAGGGGATATAAGGCCGTGGGTTCGTGGGATAATGATGCGACGACGAAATGCTCCGTAGATATTTAGACGCATACGAATACACACGCCTAATGATTTAGAGTATACTGATTTTAACGTCTCGATGTACGCACTATCCCGCACATCGTGGTGCGTCCTCTAGGGGTTTCGCGCGCGAAAAGCCGGCACAATCACGGGAGCATCTTCTCCAAGTTTCTTCCGCCACGACTGAATCATTCACCACTCGACTCATAGTTGAGGTGAATGGCTCAAGACGCCAAAATCTTGATTCTCCCCTCGACGCGCGGTGCAATCACTCGCGTCCAGTCCACGTCAAACTCGCCCTCCTTCATCGGATCGCACACGGCCGCCTTCACGCCAGCCTTGCGCGCCCAGCGAGTCCAGAACTTTCTCAAAAGCAGGACTTCGCAATCCATCCTGTCTGTGGTGACGCCGTTGGCTGCGCTCTCGTCCATGTGTAGGTAGTCGAAGTGATCGTCTTCGTCGTCGTCCAAAGGCTTTTCGCCGAGGCCAAGGCGCTGGTGCAGAAAGCCATGCCAAGTCGTCTCACCGGCCGCGTCCTGTTTACTGCTCGAGGCGAGTGACCCTAGGACACCCGGACTGTCGTCCATTTTGCTGTGCTCCCTCTTCCGCACCGATGCCAAAGGCACGGCACCCTTGGCGACCCCAACCCAGTGGTCCGACAGCTTCTTCCACTGGCCAATTGTCTGCAGGCCCATGAAGTATTGCCGCAGCATGGCTGAGATGAGAATGCCGTGCTCTTCGTCAACAAGTTCCTCTGCCTGACCGCCCTCTGATTTGACGAGCAAGCTGGTGAAGCCATCTGGACATGCCCTGTCAGCGCCTGTCAGTTGGCAGAGGGCGTAGTTGGTTCTCACCTTTGCCGCGCCCCATGTATCCTCTCGTCGCAAGAAGATACTGCTTGTCCGGGATCCATTGTTCGCCCCCGATGGACAAGGAGGTGAGTCTCTTGCCGCTTGCTCTGCTCGGGCCAAACTCGTAGACAATGTTGGAGACTTGAGGGAACCTGCCCTCCAGAGCGGGATACGTCGAAACACCATTTTCCAAAGCATCCCAAATGGCTTGGCCGGAGACTCGCAACAAAATGGCTGGATCCTCAAAGGGGAAGCAGTTTGTGATGTCCTTGATGCGAACAGCTCCTGGAGGATAGATTTGGTCGCCGCGGATGGTGCCCCCGGCCATGATTGTACAATCGGCGCTGTGGTAGCGCCGCATGACGTCGCAGACAAAGTTGCCAATGTTGGATTCCTTGATGCGCACAGTGCTGAAGCGCGCGTCGAGCGGCATAGCCGTCCAGCCAACGGGCCGCGACAAAGACTTTTGCAGCTTCGAAGTGAGATGGCGGGCGAGCTTGGCCGAGGGCTCGTGTTCGGGCACGTCCGAGGTAACATCGCGGCGCCAGATGTCAAAGTCCCACTTGCCGGAGCCGTCCCTTTTCCTCCGCGCCTCGAGGTAGCTCATCTGCTTGAAGTCGGTGCCCGAGCGCAGGACGTGGGTGCCGTTGACGATGCTGTGGCTGTAGTAGTGATCATGACCGCCCAGGATGATGTCCATGATACCGTCCGTCTGCTCCGCGAGCTTGTTGTCGTTGGGCTCGCGCATATGTGACAGGCAAATTACAATGTCGGCGCCTTGCTGGCGCAGCTTGGGGACCAGTTCCTTTGCGGTGGCGGTGGCCGATTGATAGATGAGATTGGGCGGGACGCTGTTGATTGTTTCTAGCCATTCGCGCTCACCCAGGCCAATCAGGCCAACCCTGATGCCGTTGGAGGTGGTGAGCATGTGCGTGCGGCCGGCATTGCCCAGAGGCACGTCGACGCCGAGGGCTGGGTCGAGGATGTTGGCGAGGAGCCAGGGAAACTGGCACTTCTCGGCGAGGTGGCGGAACTGTTCGACGCCAAAGTCCAAGTCGTGATTCTAGGTGTCGACGGGCGTCAGTTGATATTGACAACAGATGAGAGACAAACTTACCCCGACGCAAGCGCAGTCAGTCCCAATGGTGTTGAGGACGGGAACCATGTGGCTGCCTTGTTTGCCGTCAGTCCCAATTGCGTCACTTGGAGGCATGGGCAGGCCAACCAACCCTTGGTGACGCTGCTTTCGAGGCTTGGGTTGAAGGCATCGCCGGAAAAAAGGGTCAAGAGGTTAGGCAGCTTGTCTTCTCGATACTCGTTGACCAGGGTCATGAAGCGCGCAAAGCCGCCGACGGGCTCGGCACTGGCCTGGTCGACATGATAGACGTCGTTGTAGTGGAGGATTCGCAAGTCCGGGGCATCCGCAGCTTCGTCCCGACCCGATGAGAAGGTCGGCCTCGGCTTCGACGAGGGCTCTGCCGTGCCATTGCCCATGTCTTGGATCCTTTGTTCTCGGGAGCTTGTGCAGGGGGAAGAGGCGATTAGGGGTGTCGGCCAAGTCGAGCTCCACCAGCTTCGTCGTCATCTTGACTCTCTGGAGCGTTCAGCACGGACTCCCTGTCTGTCTTGGGAGTGGCTTGCGAGGTCCAGCTCAATCCGCTCCTGCAAGCGAACAGCCTCACGTGACGAGCTTGGCTCTCGATGAGTAAGCACTCCGCTTATCCACATAAACGCCGACGGAGTTTGGCCTCGCAATCTCTCCCTCACCAGATCAAGAGTTAACGTAGCCTATTATTCCACTTCCATCGCCCTGTCGACACCTCTATCAACGGCCACTTCAATCCCGCTCCGATACTCAGCCACGTACTGCTCGCTCTCCTCGCATCGGCAGAATTCCCGCCTCTCAAGAGAATGACCGCATTCGTCGTCCGTCACATTGGCGCCTCCCTTGAGCACCGCTTCGCTTGACCTCGATACAAGACCACCCATAATCATGGCCCAGAGTCGCTCTACATCCAAGCCACGATTGGCAAGGCACTTGCTCTCGCTGCTGTATCCTGCTTGCTGTTAGTGGCCGTGACACCACTCGTCGGTCCTCATGCAGCGTTCGTCAACCGCGTCGGCCTGCGGGCAGCCTTCCGAATTCGGCTTCAGCAAAGGCAGGCCCTCTTGAGCTCTGGGCTCTCCAATGATGAGCATGCCTTCAGGGTGCCGATGTTCTCGTTCGCCGGTGCAACCACCGGATGCCCCCCCGTAGTGCCATGGAGATATGGCCTTGCCGAAGCCTCTCCGCGGAGCTCCAGGCAATGGCCTTGGGATCTAAACAGCTGCCGCACATTGTCGGCATTATTGCACACTCTGCCATCCCGCGACACGTTTCCTCGCCGAGATGGTCCCGGCCGCCGCACTGTGGCGAGTAGACGATCGAAAACGGCGGCTTAGAGCTCGACGAGAGCGGTCCGCGACGGTTCAGACACGCCTGTCCCTATGCAGCCAGGTTGGAGCCAGTTCACCACTCTTCAGTTCCAGGGCTGCGCTCGTTCTCTGCTCTCGGAGCAGGACATACTTGCGAGCTTGGGAGTGAAGGTAGGTGGCCAAACATGTATCTGTCCCTAGCAGCAACTATATATGCGCTGAAGCGCAGCATTTAGACTCCCAACCTAACCTCATCCATCCACGACGCCAATGGCATGTCCACGCAGCAAGCCAGCTTCTGAGTAATGTTCAAAAGGCCATCCAGTAGCTGATGTGCCGTCTCCGTAGTCATCATGTGTGTATTAGCACCTAATTCGATCCCGAGGCGGTCGCCTCGTGGATAGGACACCATGCCTATAGACGCCGGTATGGAATGCGGGTTCTCAAAGAACTGGACTCGCGATGCGCCCCCTGGAGTTTGAATTTCGGGATGCTCGTCGACATTCTGGTGTTGGATTATCGTGTCGAAGCTCGACCCAACTGGCCAGTCAGTGCAGTGTTCGATGATGTCTTTAAAACCGAGGGAATCCGCTTCTCCAGTCGCCAGGAACTGGTCTTGGACGTGGAGCAGCAACTCTGCTGCAGTTTGGCAAGACGATATCGTGACACGGACAGGGGCAATGTTAAGGCAGCATCCCACCGTCTCCTCCACCCCTTGTATCGCGGAGTTCCGGCCAGCAATTATATGACCGTAGACGACGTCGGCTTGCCTAGTAATGCATGACAGGAGAACAGCCCACGCAGCACTGACCAGAGTTGCTGCCGTAATCCTTCTGGGGAGACGCGGCAAATCTGCCTCTGCTTGGATTCGAATGGGTTTGGGTTTGGGATCGCGCTGAATGTTGCCCGGTGGATGAAGCTTTGGTCGGATAGCCGTGAGATGCGATCCTCGCAATAAGCCGCTCCAATATGCAACCGAATGGGAGCGTCGGCGGGAAGCGTACGACAAGTAGGTTGAGAAGCAGGGAGCAGCAGGTAACGCCGTCTTGCGGTAGCTGTCCATGAGCGACTGAAAAATAATTGGCACGCACATGCCATCGTACTGGGCATGCGACATGCGAATAATTAATCGGTCTCCTTGAATACTGTGCCTTAGAAGAACAAATGCGACCGGGGGCGTGGCCGTCGAGACTTGTTGTAAGTCTTGGAGGCAAAAATTGCGGAAGGATTGATCGAGATCTCCATGCTCATCTTGTACGCGAAGGGGTTGCTCGAGCTGGTGGAGGACAACTTGCCAAAGTCTTTCTCGAAGGTGCAGAAAGCACGCGCGGAGGACTGGAAACCTCACCAGAGTAACATTACAGTCTCTTTCCAAGCACGACAAATCGAGGCGAGCACCGGTGTCCAGGTAGAAGTAGTTGGCGTACTGTCCGTGAGTGATACTGTCAACCAAGCTCTTCTCTTGGCAGCTTGTCAGTGGCAGGATATCTGCAACGTCCTCCGAATGGATATCAAAGCTGCCAGAGTCAATCTCTTCGAAAAGAGCTGCTTTGATGGCAGGTTCAACGAGGAAAGTCTGTTCGGGTTCTTGTTGGATTTGCGTCACCTCTATGTCCTGTCCATTCACCAACTCCGCCAGGGTGTGACGGCGGAAAACATCTGCCACGGTCAGATTGGTGCCCATCTTGCGAGCCTCGCCCACAACCTTCATGGCGGAAATCGAGTTGCCGCCGAGTTGAAAGAAGCCATCGTCGAGGCCAATAGTAGCAGGCTCTATCTGGAGCACTCGGGACCAAATCTTCTGCATACGCTGCTCGGCCTCTGAGGTCGGTAGCCGTTTCTCTCTTTTTGCTGTCATCCGCAGCTCCACCAACTGCTGCGCTGATATCGCCGACCCCATCTCCCGCAGCCGCCTCCGGTCCATCTTCCCCGACGCCGTTAGCGGAAGGTTTGATATGGGAAGCAACACCGAGGGAACCATGTAATGCGGTAGCACGGATTGCAACCGGGCCCAGACGAGTTGGAGGGCTGCACTTGCCCGTCCATCACAGGTCCAGCCTCCTCTCCCCTGACGGCTGTCTCTTGCTCGGCTCGGCTCCATGACGAGGAAGCCTATCAACTCTGGACCTCTGCTGCCACAGTCGCTGAGAGTAATAAGCTCTACGGCGGCGTCAACGACGTCAGGCGAGGATCTTGCTTGGTGCTCAATCTCCCCGATCTCGACGCGCTGTCCTCGGACCTTGACCTGCCGGTCCTTTCGAGCCAGGAACTCTAGCTGGCCATCCACCGGCCGATAGCGCACGTTGTCTCCTGTTCTGTAGCCTTCAACCTTCTCACCGCCAACCATCACGGGGACGAACCGGTCGGAATTTTGTTGGGGATCGATGTAACCTCGGGCCAGGCCATCGCCGGTTACCACGAGCTCTCCGACGACGCCGAGCGGGACGAGGCGTTGCTGGGGATCCATGACATATGCACCTGAGTTGTTCAGCGCTCGACCAATGGGGACTCGATCAGTATAAAGTTCCTGTTCCGACAGGGAGTAACATGTGCTGAAACCCGTGTTCTCGGTAGGTCCATAGCCATTGATGATCCTGGCTGTCGTGAGCCTCCGCGCTGCCATCATGTCTTGTGGGTCGAGTCGATCTCCCCCTACGACTAACGTGTCCAACATGCTGATGACGGTTGGGCACTGGAGAAGATACTGCTTGAGTAGAGCCGGTGTGATGAACATGGTTTGCACTTGCTCTTGAATGAAGACCTTGGGGAGAGCGATGTGATCTAGCACCACCATGGAATCGATGCAGATTAGCGTGCCACCGTTCAGGAGAGCGGCGTAGATCTCCCACGTGGAAGCGTCAAAAGTGATGCTTGCCATGTGGGCCATGGTAGTGGCACAATTCACCACGTTTCTCAGCTTGGCAAGTCGCAATATGTTGCGATGTTCCACCATGACGCCCTTTGGTTGGCCGGTTGAGCCAGAGGTGAACATGACATAGGCCAGACTGGTGGCCGAAGGCGGAGCAACTGCAACTGGAGCTTGGTGGGCATCCTTGTTCCGAGTCTGCTTATGGAGGACATCTGCAATGCGGACGAACTCGACGTCGTCTCGCTGGAGGACGGGAAGTTGTATACCGGGTCCAACCAAGACGACATGAAGCCTGCGGCCTTGCAGGGACGACAGAATAGTCTCCATCCGGCCGACGGGAGCCTTGACGTCGAATGGCAGAAACGCGAGATTGGCCTTGAGGATGCCAATAAAGGCGACAATAGTATCACATGATCGAGCAGCAAGCACGCCAACCAATGTCTCGGCGGCAAACGAGCGCCTTGCCAGCCACTGAGTGAGCACGTCTGATCTCTGGTCCAGTTGGAGATATGTCAGCTGAGAGGAAGCGTCCCTGACGGCAACTCTATTAGGATTAGCCGCGACCACTTGACGGAAGACATCAATGACGCTCGAATATCGGGGATAATCCGTTACGTGGACCTGGAGCAACCCCATCATATCGAGCGTGGAGCGGTCATCGTCGGTCATCAACGGCAACGAGGCGATGGAGGTACTGGGCTCGGCCAGACCGCGTTCGAGGACGCTGTGGAAGACTGACAGTAAGGTGTTGATTGTTTCCGGCTTGTAAAGATCCGTTGAGAAAACAAGGTGACTTCGAAGGGTATGATGCTCCTGGTAGAAGTGAAACTCAAGATCGAACCTCGACGTGACTGGGGACGCCATCGGCTCAGACTCGACGTCTTCAAGGGCAAGTCTGGCTAAGTCTGGCTGAGAATGAAGGGCAAATGCTATTTGGACTAGTGGATGGCGCGATAGGTCCCTGTCTCTCTGCAGTTTTGACACAATCCTCTCAAAGGGTACGTCCTGGTTGGCGAGAGAAGCAACCGTCGTTGCCTGAACCTGGCTAACTAACTCTTCGAAGGATTCATCTTCGATCTTGATTCGAATGCACTGCAAGTTAACGAAGAATCCGATGATGCCTTCAAGTTCCCACCGTTCGCGATTCGCGTTTGGCACGCCGACTGTAGCATCCACGGCGCCGCTAAGGCGATAATGCGTTGCTCTAAACGCAGCGAGAAGCACGGCGAATAGCGTGACACCGCGAGTGTTGCAGAACTGTTGGAGCTCATGGTATAGTACACCCCCAATGCTGAAGCCTTGGGCGTCGGCCCGTCCCGATAGAGCGGCCGGTCGGGACCTATCGCAGAATAGCTCTGCCGGCCGGCTTGTTTCCAACTGCGAGACCCAGTAGTCGAGCTGATGCTGATGCGTCTCTACTTAGTCTTGCTGCTTCTGCCACGCGGAGGCGTCACGATACTGGATGGGGAGAGGTCTAACTTGCGAGAGCGGGTCTTGGCCGCGGATGGCGGCCGAGTAAAACGCGGCCAGCTCTCTCCGGAGGATATCGATAGACCAGCCATCGGAGATGATGTGGTGCATGACGATGGATAGGGCGTGGTCATGGCTTCCCATCCGATAGACGGAGACTCTCCAACCTGGCTCCGTCAGCAGATCGAATGGAGTTGACTGGTGTTGTTGCAATGCTTCGACGAGAGCGTCGCCGTCTCCTAGCGGCTGTATGTCGACCACATTCAAATCCCTTGGCCGGAATGGGTGGACGGTCTGTGTGTTGACACCGTCGAGGGAGGCAAAAGTCGTTCTCAGCGATTCGTGGCGTCTCTCCAACGCAAGGAGTGCTGCGTTGAGAGCGTCTAGCCGAAGCGGTCCTCGGAGTCGTACTGCGCACGGCACCAGAAACCAGGTCAAGCCGGGTCGCAGCCGGTCCAGGAACCACAGCCGCTCTTGGGCAAACGATTGCTCCATGGGCCCATCCTGCTGAGACTTTGGAATGCCCTGGACGACACCGCCAGGCAACGGAACCGCGTGGCTCGCCATGTGATGCAGCCTGGGATGGCGGAATATGTCGGCCACGGCCAGCTCAATTCCAGCCTTGCGGGCCGCCGCGACCAGTCTCATGGCCCCGATCGAGTCGCCTCCAAGCCGGAAGAAGCTATCGTCTGGCCGGATGCTGCCCAAGGAGATGCCGAGCAACTGCGACCAGAGGCCTTGAAGACACTGCTCCATCTCGGTCCGCTGCTGCTGCTGCCGTCCGCCTCCTCCTGACGCCGTCCGAAGCTCGGCCAGCTGCCGCGCCGACAGTGCCGACGCCACCTCGCGTAGCCGCCTGCGGTCCGTCTTTCCCGACATGGTCAGCGGGAGCTTTGATATAGGAACCAGGATAGATGGAACCAGAGAGTACGGGAGCTCAGCCTCTAGCCTGTCTCGAACCCTTTGGATTGCTAGACTTATCCGCTTGTCATGGCCGCCCTCTCTTCCATCAGCCCCCTTCTCTAGCCCGTCGTCCAGGTCGAAAAGGAGGAACCCAATCAGCTCAGTGCTTGTTCCCTGGCCATTCTCAGCCAGACAAGGAGCGACTTCCACGACCGCCTCCTTTACATCCGGCGTTGACAGCCTTGCTCGATGTTCGACCTCGGCCATGTCCACGCCCCGGCCTCGGCGCTGGGCTTGCATGTCTTTGCTTCCGAGGAGATGGATTGACCCGTCGCTTCCGTACGATGCCAAGTCACCTGTCCTATAGAAGTGTGACGCCGTTCCGCAAGCTGCGGAAAACGAAGCCCTCCAGGACGGCACCGGGGCAACACTGGTGGCGGATGAGTCGTCCGGCTCATGCACATACTCGCGTCCCATTGCGGGCCCTTCGAGAACAATCTCACCAGGAGCACCTATCGGCATCAGCTGGTTGGGATTCGCAGGGTCGACGATCCAGCACCGAGCGGTCGCTGCCCTGCCAACGTCCGTGGGTGCCGACGATGCATCCAGCTTCGAGGAGGAGACAGCAGCACAGGTCGCCGCACTGCCATACGTCTGCCGCAAGTGAACCTTTGGTGCCCACTCGCTGATCTGGGACCTCCGGATAGGCTCGCCGCCAACGCAGACTGTCCGCAGGGACGGCACATGCTCCGGAGAAAGGGTTGCTAGCATAGTCGGGGTGACAAGGGCCCAGTTGGCGCCCAGCCTGTCGACTGCCCGTGCCAAGCCGGGGCCACGGTCCTCTTCGGATGGGATACAGATGCAGCCGCCGCGGATGAGCGTCATGACCATCTCCGTGATGGCTGCAGTACAGGCATAGGAGCCAAGTTGCAGAGCGCGCGTGCTCTTGCTCATGGCCATGACTGCTCCATGGCCGAGAGCGGCCGAGCAGTAGGATTGATGCTCAACGACGTAGCCTTTAGGACCCCCGGTGCTTCCCCATGTAAAGATGGCATAGGCAGCGTTGTTTGGACTTGGCTTGTGCATCTGCGACGGCAAAGTCTTGTGTTTCCGCCACCTCAACGCCTGCTTGCAGAGCACGACCGTCTGGCGCGTCAAAGCAGAAACGCGGCCTTCGCAGAGGGGGGACGTGATGCAAACTGCAGCGTGCACATGCCGGAAGAGGCTTCGGAGCCGGTCGTCGGGTAAGGCAGGGTCGACTAGGACGAAGGCAGCGCCGGCCTTGAGGACGGCAAGCATGGCCACGACGGTCCACATGGATTTCTCCAAGCATAGCGGCACAAATGTGCCCGGTCCAAGCCGGAGCTCGACGAGATGGCAGGCAAGCCGTGTCGAGAGCTCATCCAACTCGCCATACTTCAGCTCGCCGTCCCATGCATGGATTGCCTGGGCATCTGGCTGCGACCCGGCATGCTCGGCGATGACATTGTGGACGCACCTCTCGACTGCAGCCGGCACCGACCTGTTCCACTCGCACAGGGTCCTTTCGTCGTCTGTTGTTAGCATACCCATGTCCCCGACAGACTGGTCCGGCCGAGCCTGGGACAGCCGCTCCAGGACAGCACCGAGTCGCTGCAGCAACTTGTCCACCGACCACCTATCCACCACTCTCGTGTCGAAGCTCGCCCTCAGCGTCACTCCCTGGCTTCCCACGAGGCATTCCAGCGTCACGGCGTACGTGGAAAATCCACGTTGAACGGATGGCCTGCGCCATGTCCCGAGCACGTCGGCCGGCAGCCCGCCGCTAGGGGGTTGCACCACAAGGAGGGTCTGAAAGCGACATGCGGCTCGGCCGCTCTCGCTTATCCTGGCGATGTGCTGCAGGCCTGTCTGCTCGTACGGAATCATCTCTGCCGCTTGCCGCTGCACCGTCTCGAGGTAGTCCCGGGCCGGCTGCTCCCTTGGCACCCGCACTCGAACGGGCACCGTCGCGATTGTCGGCCCAACGAGGTTGTCGATGCCTGCCACGGGTGCACTTCTGCCGGACACGACGGCCCCGAATATCACGTCTGCCGAACCCGTCTGCTGGCTGATGACAACGGCCAAGGCCCCGCGCATCAGCGTCGACGCCGTCAACCCCGTCTTGGCGTCGAACGTGAAGTCGGCCTCCAAGGTTGCGTCCGCTGCTGGCTCCGTCACCGACGCCGGCAGGGCGGGGAACGGGGCGAAATCGCCGCCCGCCAAGTACGAGCGCCAGAATAACTCGGCCTCAGCCATGTTCAGGCTCGTTACGTGCTTGACAAAGGCATTGAAGCCGGCTTGCTTGCCTCTTGCGTGGCCTTGGTAGCCGCGGCTGATGGCGTCCATCGTCAGGGGCCACGACCACCCGTCATATAACGCATGGTGTGCAGTCCATACGAGCCGCCGGGGCTCGATCGTGCCGCCCCTGACGAGAGCAAGTCGTGATAGGCGGCTGCCCAGCCTCATCGGTACCAGCCTGTCCTTGTCGAGGTAGCCCTCGAGCTCCGTGGCCAGAATCCACTCAACGTCTTCTCTGCATACCACTTGCACAAGCCCGAGGTATTGATGCTGCACGATCCTGGTACGGAGGATGGCCGTCGAGCGAACCACGTCCTCCCACGCTGCTCTGAGAGCGTCAAGTTGGACAGCCTCGGATAGCTCGAGGGTGGCCTGCATGACGAAGTTGGCTGAGCCCTCGCCCTTGGCCGTGAGCGATAGCAAGCCCTCCTGCAGTGGCGTACATGGGTAGGCATCCTCGATCTGCCACGCCTCTAGGCCACAGAGCGCGGCAAGATCCTCGCAGAGCTGCTGATGCATGGCTGCCCGTCCCCTTCCGAGGAGCGAGAATGGTGGTATAGTCTCCATGCTGCCGCTGGCCACAATTCTCTTGGTCTGGGCCTGCGCAGCGAGCGTGGGATGTCCAAAGATGTCCGCCACTGTCAGCGAAATCCCCGCCTCGCGGGCCGCAGCGACCACTCTCATGGCCGCGACCGAGTCGCCTCCGAGCTGGAAGAAGCTGTCGCCCAACCCGATGCTGCATGCGTCCATGTTGAGCACCTGGGCCCAGATACTCTGCATACGCTGCTCAACCTCGCCAGACGGCTGCCGCTTCGGTCTTCGTCCCATGTCGACCAGTTGCCCCATGGAAAACGACGAGCCAATTTCGCGAAGCTGCTTCCGGTCCATCTTTTCCGTAGCCGTCATCGGCAGTTCTCTCATGGAGAAGAGGACCGTTGGCACCATGTAGCTGGGAAGATGCTTGGCCAACTCGCCCTCGACCTCTGTGGGCACGGGGAGCATCTTGACCGTAGGGGCGTCGAGCTCATCCGGTTCCATCGTTTCACTACCAAGCTGGAGAAAAGCCGCCAGCGCCGGGCTTGACTTGTGGCCTCGCGGCTCAACCACTTCAGCGACAACTCGCGTTGCTTCCGGGATGCAGTTCCGGATCCAGTGCTCGACCTCCCCCAGCTCTACGCGCTGGCCGCGGATCTTGACCTGCGCATCCTTCCGGTGAACAAAAGCCAGGCTCCCATCCTCGTTGTACCGGACCAAGTCACCCGTCTTGTAGAGTCGCCCATGTCGTCCCGGCTGGCCCGGGGCTCCCCGAAGCAGCCAAGCCGGGTCCTCGATAAACGCCGCTGCAGTGTTTTCCGGGTCGTTTAGATAACCGCGACCGACGAGGGGGCCTTCGAGAAGAAGCTCGCCGACGCAACCTGGTGGGAGCAATGTGTCGTGGCTCTCGGGACTCACAACCCAAGTGACCAGCCCGGCTCCAGTACCTATATGGGTGGCCTGCTGGGCATTCCTCGGGTGGCCGTTGATGGTACTGACTGACGTGCACTCACTCGGTCCGTAGAGATTCATGACCCGCGCTCTCCCCCACCAGGGGCTGACGTCTTGTATGCGCAACGCCTCTCCGCCGAAAAGGATCGTCTTCAACTCAGGCGTCTGTGCTGGAGAGAGAAGAAGCTGCGCAACGGATGGAGTGAGTAGCGCAACGTTGGCCTGCAGTGTTACCATGCATGTAGCCAGTCTATCTTTTCGATCTTCATCGCTGGGGATACACAAGCAGCCCCCAGCAACGAGCGTCGTAAAGGCATTGAGGATAGGCACATCGAAACTGTGCGAGGAAAAGTCAAAGACTCGCGACCCGGTACCAAACCCTAGAGCGTCTGCCTGGTGGTGCACTGCTGACGAGGCACTTTTATGCGTTATGACCACCCCTTTTGGTGTTCCAGTGCTGCCTGACGTGAAAACGACATAGGCAATTGATTCCGGGCTCGGATGTGCCAGGGGCTTGTTTGTCTCCTCGCAATCGTCTGAGTACAAGGTCGGACTGACGGTCAACACCTTTGAGCAGAGTCGTACGCAGAGCGGCTGGTTAACCGGAGAAGAGAGAATCAGGCCCGCCTTCACTTGTTGGACGATGGCTAGAAGGCGTTGATGGGGGAGAGAAGCGTCGAGCAACACGAAGCCTACACCCGCCTTGAGCACGCCGAGCATCGCAACCGTGGCCCACATGGACTTTTCAAAACAGAGCGGGACTACGGTATTGGGCTCGATGCCATGGTCGAGAAGCCGGACAGCCAGCCTCGTTGCAAGGCGGTTGAGTTCGCCATAGACCAGCTCGCCGTCCCATGAGCACACGGCGGGTGCCGTGGGCTTGGCTTGAACCCTGTCCTCGATCATCTCGTGGATACATCTTTGCGTTGCTGCCGGGACCGTGTTATTCCATTCCCAGATCCGTTCCAGATCCTCGGGCGTGGCGATGTCAACTTGCGCCAGCACATGCCTTGGGTCTGCGTCATCGAGTTGATACATGACGTATTCGAGCCGTTTCAGCGACATGTGGATCACCCATGGCTCCATCACCCTCGGGTCAAAGGTGGCTGAAGCAGTAATCGTGTCGGCTTCAAGGTGTACTTCAAGCGTGAGCGCATACGTGCCCAGTCCCTGCTGGCGACCGCAATTAAGATGCTGCCACTTGCCGAGCACGCCCTGGGCGTTGAAGCTCGTCTCCTGGGGTTGGATGACGAGCAGCGTCTGGAACATGCATGCTTGCCGTGCCCCGGGGCATATCTTGGAGATGTGGTGTAGGCCTGCCTGCTCAAACGGCATCATGTCTGTTGACTGCCGCTGTATAGTCTCGAGATATTCTGAGACTGTCTGCTCGTCGGCCAACCTTGTTCGCACCGGAACCGTTGCAATTGTCGGAGCCGCCATCGCCTCGATGCCAGAAACTGGCGCGCTTCTTCCAGATACTGTAGCGCCAAACACAACGTCGTCCGAATTGGCCATCCTGCCGGCGATGAGAGCCCACGCAGCACGAACCAGAGTCGACATGGTTGTAGTCCGAGAGCGTCGTCGGGGTTGCGAGAACCGGTGCTCGACTACTTCGTCTGCCACCGGCTGCTCTATGGTTGGCGGCAGGGTCGGAAACGGTACACACTCACAGTCGGTCAGGGTGCGTCGCCAATAATTCGACATGGTCTCGTCGGCGTGTTTGTCTTGAATGTACTTGATAAATGTTTGGAAACGAGGCCCCGGGTCGATTGACGCTCCCTGATATGCTCGGTCCACGGCGTGTTTGATGAGATTCATGGACCAGCCGTCGTAGAGCGCATGATGTACCGTCCACACGAACCACCGAGGCGTTCCTGTGTCGTCACTGACTGTTGCATAGCGTGCGAGAGGCTGGCCCGGACCCATTGGCTGTTTCCTATCGGCGTCGAGATACTGGTCGAGCCCCGTCGCCTCAATCCAGTGGATCTGTTCGTCTGTAACCAGCTGCAGGAAGCCGGTCTCATTGTATGGTACGATCCTTGTGCGTAGCAAAGTCATGGAACGGATGGCTTCTTCCCACGCAGCTCTGAGAGCGGCTGGCTCAGTGTCGTGAGATAGCTCTAGCACGGCCTGCCTGACATAGTCGCCCTCGCGCCTCGCCGTAAGCGATAGCAGGCCCTCTTGGAGCGGTGTACACGGGTAGGCATCTTGGATATGCGATGCCTGAATACCGCAGAGGGCGGCAAGATCCTCACAGACTTGCTTGACCGCCCGCTTGCTTCCGAGCAGCGAGAATGGCGGTATAGTCTCATTGCCCATGGCGCCGCCAAGGAGCCGGGCTTGCGCGCCCAGGGTGGGATATCGGAAGACGTCGGCCGCTGCCAGCGAAAGCCCGGCCTTACAAGCCGTTCCGGCCAGCTCCACGGCCCTAATCGAGTCGCCTCCAAGGCGGAAGAAGTCGTCGTTCAACCCGATGCAGGTGCCTGCGTCGACCCCGAGGACTTTGGCCCACATGCCTTGCAGGCACCGCTCCGCCGAGGTCCGCTGCCGCCGTTTGCCCCCGTCCCCGGTCGCCCCGTGCAGCTCGGCCAGCCGCTGTGCCGACAGCATGGACCCCATTTCGCGTAGCCGTATCCGGTCCGTCTTCCCCGACGCCGTCAGTGGCATTGCGGCAACCCGGAGATACACTGCGGGAATCATATATGTTGGCAAGCGCCGTGAGAGGGCCGTTTCGACGTCAGCTTCCATGCGCATGACTTGGACGTCGGCTGCGGCCTGCCCCGGGCGGCATGGCACGGGGCCGCCTTCATGCTGGTCTTGGTAAGTCATAAACACGGCTAGCATCGTCCTCTGCTTCTCGCCGCCGAGCTCCACCACTTCCGCAATCGCCTGGCTGGCTGACGGCACACACTCCCGCACATGGTGTTCCACTTCGCCGAGTTCCAGTCGCTGACCCCTGATCTTGACTTGGGTATCTTTGCGCCCGACAAAACTTAAGCTGCCATCCGCGCCCCACCGCACAAGGTCTCCCGTCTTATAGAGCCGGCCGCGCCGGCCCGGGTATCCTGAGGTGCCTCGGAGCAACCACGGCGGGTCTCGAATGAACGCGGCCGCTGTCCTCTGTGGATTGTCGAGATATCCTCGAGCTAGAATTGGCCCTTCCAGCAGGAGCTCCCCGATAGCTCCAAGAGGTGCAAGTTTCGTATAGTCATCCGGGTCCACAACCCAAGTCACAGCTCCCCTGCCCTCACCAATTCCCATGGCCATGTCCGGTGAGCTTGCCTTTGCGTTTATCGTAGCATGAGTCGTGCACTCGGCAGGGCCGTACGCGTTGATGATGCGAAAATGGCCCCATAATCGTTCCAACTCGGCACGGCTTGCAGACTCTCCTAGGAGTATCAGGGTCCGCAGGGCCGGCAAGCTGTCCGGCTGGAGCAGCCGGGAAACTGAAGGCGTCAAACCGACTATGGTTGCGCGCGTTTCTCTCAACGTTTGGTTTAGCCGCCCACTGCGTTCCTCCTCTGACGGGATGCAGAGGCACCCTCCCACAGACAAGGTAGTCATGGCATTGTGGACAGCCACATCGAAACTGTAGGATGCAAAATCGTATACTCTTGATTCTGAGCTGTAACCAAGTAAACCAATCTGGTGTTGCCAGGCGGTGCAGAAGCTGGCGTGAGAGAGGACGATTCCCTTGGGTTGACCCGTGCTGCCCGACGTAAAACAAACGTACATTGGGCGCGCTGGATCTGGGTCGGGGAGAATGCTTGCCTCATCTGGAACTTCGTGTTGCAAAGACGGTCCTACAACTATGACCTGGGCTGCCAGCCGGGATGCGAGCCACCGGTTGCTGCGAGAAGAACAGACGGTGTTGGCTTTGCACTGTCCCACGATTGACTGCAGTCGAGCCTCAGGCTGAGCGACATCCAAAAGAACAAAGGCACCTCCAGCCTTGAGTATGCCCAGCATCGCCACAACTGCCCACCTTGACTTCTCAAAGCACAATGGCACAATCACCTCGGTGGTGACGCCGCATCTAGTCAGTCGCTGGGCTAACCGCGTTGAGAGCTCGCCCAACTCGTGGTATGTCAAATCGCCATCCCACGCCTGCACAGATGTCTTCCCAGGCTGACGAGCCACTTGAGTTGCGATCATGTCGTGGATACACGCCAACATTATATCCGGTACCGTGCTGTTTCTCTTCCAAACCTCATTCAACTCGTCTTCGGCCGACCGCCGGACTCCATTACCCGCCGTGAATCCGTTCACAGTCATTTTCAGCCCTGCAATCAGACTTTCCACTTGCGGCGAGTTTCGCAAGGCTGCCAAAGATGGTGGAGCGAGTAATAATTCGTGTCGGAGTTGTCCCCCAATCTCTTCTTTCCCCATGGGCTCCATCCATTTAACTACCATGTACCCTCTGTCAAGACAAGGATGCGGTAACTCGCAGCCGTTGAGGCGTGGTGTTCCACTAGTTATTTCGGTGATGGGCACCAACCACCTTTAGGCGGTGCGAGCTATAAGTAACCCTTGACCCGTACACGATCCGCCCACTGAAAAGATAAATCCTTTCGCGTTATCCTGGCTAAAAGCCGCCCTTGGAAGGCCCCGTGGTCTCGGAAGCGTCTGCAGGCGATATGTACGAAGTAACTTCAAGCCCTCCTTCATCTAAGAGTCAAACTAATTTCCCCGGCCCAGACGTAGGTGCCAGCCGTCGCCTGATGATTGCCGTCACACACCGCTTCGCCGGGTTGGAAGCCTTTTTTCTTTCCTTGAGTTTCGAGCTGCCGATGCCGAGAACACGAGGAGAACAATTAGTCGCTTCCAAACCTGGAGGAGTATTTACCTTTAAAGGTCAAGGCTTCTCGCATCCCGTTGTAGAGACACTGTCAAGATTCTGTCGGTCGCTCCAAGGCCAGAGTAACAGGGAGTCCGGTAAAGAAGTTCGGTCAAGCATCCCTGCAATGTAAGGGATTTTCCGATGATCTGCCGGATCTGGTGATCTGCCGGATTGCGGCGACTTCGCACGCTCAACATCAATCGACAATAGCTCAACAACAACGGTGCCAATTGACGTATCCTTTGATTTCCTGAATCATCAGAAGCAGTGAAAGTCTGGCATATATTTAGAACTTTTATCTAGGGGCAATGCGCTGCGGTGCTGACATCAAACCAAGCAACGGCCAAAATAGGATGCCGACAGATTGTGTAAGTCATTTCAGCCAATACAGCAAAACAGAACATTATTGGCTTTCATCGTAGGCTTTAATCATGTGGGATTCTCCCATTCTATCCATAGTGCAGAACTTGGCTCAGGATACTGCAAAAATGGGGTTGGAAGGGCGAGCTGGATAACTTCATTCTACGCACCCGTAATGAGCCAGATTGAACGTGATTCGACGGTACAAGCATCTTCTGAAAAGAACCTATCTATGCATCTGAATGTAAGGTTTATTTTTAGCTTGAAATTCAGTGCGCGAGGCTCCGCTTTCACACCTGACAAGGAAAGACGTGCACGAAAATTGAGAAATTCGACACCCTACCCTAAAACACGTATAACATGGATGAAATGGGCTTTCTATTCCTTATGAGCATTTGAACGAACAGGGTATTCCTCTTATTATAAGAAAACAAGGCAAAATTGCTCGGCGTATTAAAAAATGGCAACCCATCCTCCCTTACGTTCAAGATGTGCGTCAGTCAAGAGATGGCATCGCTGCCCCATTTCTCATCCACCAAGGTAAGCCAGCACAAACTCTGGACTTTTGGTTCGTGAAACGTGAATCAAGTCGTCAATAAACATTTTTAACACGTCAAAAACGAGGTGGACGAATCACAATATTGAAATGAGCAGCTCACCGGTACGTTCGACCGGTTTACCAGGGTGAAAGCTCGAAACGGTTGTGCTTATCGCCTTTGGTTCCCGATGGCCACTTAACCATTTTAGTATCGAATTTATGGAGTGGTGTGACCGGCACCGAGTGATCGTTGTGGTGTTTCCTCAATCCATTCATCGGCTGCAACCCTTGATGTATCGTTATTCAGCCTCTCTCAACAGCGTATACGCATGATCTTATCCAGTACACAGACAAATCAAAAGGTTCATTGGATTGCTGAAATCGAAGATCTAGACTGTGTTTTGGAACGCATTTCAGGAAGTAGTCGAGAAGTCCTCTGTTGATGCTGGCCGCAACAGCCGAAGGCTGAGCAGCACCCTCGGGAGCCCTCAATATGAGTTTTAAGTGCTTGATATGAGAGTTAAAGTATGCAGAGAACAAGTAGTCACAAGAACCAGCGCAGGCAGACCGGTAAGGCTTCAAAAGATGATCTCTTCTGCTGTACAGATTCTAGTGCAGACGAGGTGTTTAGCTCTAAAATTGTGGCTCAAGCTCGCCAAAAAATGACAGTGAAAGGACTCCAAAAGAAAGAGGAGGCTCTGAAGAAGGAGGCCCGAAAGCTTCAGCGACAGCAGAAGGCAGCGGAGCAAAAGCTCTCGCTCTAGAGAAGAGGAAGCAATGAGAGGCGGAAATTGGGAGAAAACGACGGATGACGGAGGCCGTGAAGCAAAATAAGGAGATAAATTGGCATTATTAACAAGAGCTGAAGATTTTGAAAGTGGAAAAGCCACAGAAAATGCAGAATGAGCGACGGGTGGCTTCTGAGGGTCGCGAGAGGAGTCAGGATGTTCACGCTGCAAAAATTGTCACTCTTCCGTTCACACCAGAGCGGGCCATAGCATTGCAGGTACCAAACACACTATATAATAACGCAAATAATAAGGCAATGATAACTTCAAACGACATATCCTGTCCTCAAAGGCCCTCTTTAGCTGTTGATAGTGATCGGGAGGCAATGGGTGCATTTCGGGGACTTGCGCGATCGGAGAGTAACAGAAGACGACCTCGATGGCTGGATGACTTCAAAAAATATTGAGTGGAATCTTTGAGCATTATTAACTGCTCTTATAAGATTTTAGAACAATTCAAATAGTATTCGTGAAGTTATTCTCAGTTCTTTGCTGGAATGCAATGAGCCCAAAATCCGGCGAATCGCCAGATCCGGCAGATCACCGGAAAATCCCTTAATGCCGATCTTTACCCGTACTTCGTACTCCACGCGGTTTGTGAATCCAGATGGGCCATAATTAAGTTATTTCCTCTTGCTGTCTTAGGATTGCAGTCGACGGGGCTGGGGATCAGCGACTAACTTGTACACTACAACCCTACACCTTGATCTAGAGTTCTAGACCATCGCATGGGCCGCCTGACCTTGGGCACAATCTTCTGAGGAGCAGGTTGCCGCGAAAGTCAGGTATTTTCAATAGATACTTCATAGCTGGCCACCAATGGCCTGATTTGTAGCTTTTTAGTCATTCGGTACCTAATAATCGTAATAACACAAGATCGCTTGTATCTGCACATATTACAAACCGAGCGACAATGTAACCGCTGCCTTCTGTCCTTAAGCTCTATTCGTTTCTATGCACACTACCAGTAGCATTATCCGAACGTTGTGGACAGGCTCTTCACTGCAGTGAGGTTATTCGAACTGGTTCAATTGGTTATATCTTGTGTAACTAGGGAAACGTGTCCCATACAAACTGTGTGCAAAGACCTTCCTCCCTGTGTCTCACCTCTTACTCGCACGTGACTAGCGCGGTCGATTAGTTATACGTGCGCGATCGGTGCCTAGTGCACAGGTGGATCCAACACTGGAACCTCTTTCTAAATCGATGATCGCGCACTAATCAATCCACCAAAACACACCAAACACAGCGAATTAAGATGAGATAGGAAAAACACGAACAAGAACACCAACAAACTCCTACCACGATGCATCACTATGTTGGATAGTGTGCTCTGACTGTAGCTCTCCTCCCCACACTGGGTGTGTTCTGCCACACGCCATCATGGGCCGCATTTCGAGCGCCGGATGCGCTAGCTGATTCCATCGGTCCCACGTTGGAATATGGACACGAGGATCTCCTCGTTAATGTGAATGGAATAAAAGAACGACGGTAAAGCAGAAGAAGGGAACGAAAAACCGATTAAATCTCGTCGAGAATTGTTGTGTTATTGCGATGAACGAATCCTTCCACCCTCACGTTTAGCTGATTGTCGCTAATAAACTGCGTGAGGCTGTTTGGTGATGCCTTCGTCATAGCATCGGCAGGGTTATCTGCGCCGTTGACCCAACGGATTTCCGCAATATCCCTTGATTCATATGCTGCCTCAGCGCCATGATATCTATCATGAGTCGCTTCTCTGTTGTGGTGCCAAGTTTGACGAGGCACTCATAGAGGCTATATGAATCTGTGCAAATGACGAGCGGGATTTGCTTCAGATCAAGGCGTTGTGCGATCGTATTGACCGTTTGCTTGATCACAAATGCGAGATCGAAGCCCGATGTCAATCCATAGATCTCTGATGCAAGAACGCTTCGAGTAACGCGCTTGCATTTAGTTGAGCTTCAATGAAGAATGTTTCCGCGGATGGAAAATGAATCGGTTGATTGCGCGGTCTCATTGGCGATGATAATCACAAAGCCGATTTGAGAGCTTAAATCCTTATTGTTGGCGAATGATCCATCGGTGAACACAAAGATCTTCGCGCTCTCGAGATCGATGGGTATGTAACATAGGCCACGGTCGGGATTGTTGATCTGCCATTCAATCCGCTTGTTCAAAGCCTTGAAGGGCTCTTGGGCTTGTGCCGCAACGGAACAATCGTATGTTGCTTCGGGTTGGCAAATCGAAGCGATATATGCCCCGGGCGCG